TTTAGCGTTTAAGAGCTAAAAATTTTTCAAGCCCGAGGTCAATAACTCCTAAAACACATTTTTTATTTTTGTGATGTTTCGATAGGATTCATCTATGGGTAATAATAAACAATTATCACGTCAAGATTTGTTGCTTCTAAAGTGTTTACAAGATAAACATTAAAAAAGTTTCCAAGAACAAGGGCAATAACTCGTACTAAATATTTTTCGATTCTTCTGATTTTCAATGGGGTTCATCATTGTGTGATTACAAACACTCACACCAAGTTTCGTCAAAATCCACCAAGAATTGTGCCTTCTAGAGTGTTTACGAGCTAAAAATTGAACACGTTCTCAAGAAAAAGGGCAATAACTCATACTAAATGATTTAAATATTCTTCTGATTTTCAATAGGGTTCATCCTTGTGTGGGTGATTACAAACACTCACACCAAGTTTCGTAAAAAAATGCGTCAAGAATTGTGCCTTCTAGAGTGTTAATGAGCTAAAATTGAACGCGTTTTCAAGAACAATGGCAATAACTTATACTGAATAATTTAAATATTCTTCTGATTTTCAATAGGGTTCATCCTTCAGTGATTACGAACACTCACACCATCACATCTAGTTTCGTCAAAATCCGTCAAACATTTTGTCCAGTGTAGTGTTTACGAGCAATAATTGTGGACGGACCAACGGAAGGTGACGGCAATAGACGCTTCACATTTCATGTGGGCGTATAACACAACAAACATCTATTGGTGAATCGACGTATCGCGAAACGATATGATATGTGTGTGCGTATCCCATTTGATAAAAAATTGGGGATTTTTATAAGTTGGTGAATGGGGACTGATAACTGAAATTGTTGGAGATGAGTATTGTATCATATGATAGCCTTTGAGCCTAAATTTGAGTAACCTGTCAAGTCTAAAGCCTGTGTTGAACTGTTGCATTATTTTTTGTCATACTTGTTACTGTCACAAGCTACGAACACATATCGCATAAGCCAACGTAATTTTGTGCCATCTGGAAGATCACCGACTACACAGCAAAACTAGTACGTCTTTATTTATTGACGTCATTGATTGTATCAGAACAGTCTACTTAACTACCTATCATGGACTGCGGATCGAAATTTAACTGAAGAAAACGTTTTTGAGACTGTGGCTAATAACAATTCGGTATAAAACTGTTAATTTATTTGAGACGAATGTATTTCCTTTAAAGTAGCGCATTCCCGCTATCTGTCCTCAACTATTTTCCCTGTTATCGTTGGACATTGATGTACAAAAAACACACTATTGAATTCTGGGTAATCTTTTATTAAGGTTGGTGTTGTAGGACGCAGCAATAGAAATTCCGTTACAAAGTGAGTTGTCGCCGACCTTAACGGTATATGGGCGACCAAGAATAATTGAAATGTCATATTGAACTCTGTTCGGTTTCAGACGTTCAGTCAATTAATGTTTCTATAGAATATTTGATGCTCAAAAACGATCACAAGTGTGACAAGTACACGTAATCGCCTTTCATAAATTATACAAACAATATAGAACAATATATTTAGCTGCGACAGGTTGAAAGTAGAATTACCTTTTCAGGATTCGGCTTGATGCACATTTTGCATCGTTAGTTTGTCGGTTTCCCTCGCTCAAATTTTCAATATTACCCACAATCCTTTGCGAGAGACTTATTAGTGCTTATTTTATTGAACGAAAAAATTCTTATGGATTACAATTACTAACTTTATTTGAGCGACTTTTCGACCAGTGTTCTCTGGTCTTTATCAAGCAATGAATAATATTACAAAGATTAACAGGCATATATATATGTTTAGGTAAAGAGAAAACAACATAACAAAACAAAGGATTAAGAACCCATTTAAAGTATCTAACTTCTAATGTTTAATAAGGTGATCATAGGCTCTGGGAATGAAAACTCCAGGATCTCTATTGATTGACGGATTATGTCTTCTTATTTGGATGGCTTCAATAATTTTCCTTTCTTTCTTATTGCTTTTGTTGATGGCTAATGTAATGGTTTCATTCCAATTGACTTTGTGGCCTGTAACTTTTATATGGTCTTGGATTGCTGATTGGTTGTTGGCTGCATTTGATTGATGTTCTTTGATCCTTTCTATGAAGTGGTCTCTTCGTTTCCCCTTTGTTCGATTCCCCACAAGAGCAAAAAACTTGGTAAACACAGCCTTTGGGGTCAGCTTGATTTGTTGGTTGTAATTTACCGTTTGCATGAATGATATCTTTTAGTGTATTTTGGCCAGTAAAAACAGTTTCAATCCCATTTTGTTTTAATAATCTTTTGATCTTGTATGATGAGTTCCCATTGAATGGTATGCTCACTCTGATAGGTAGAGCTTCTGGTTTAGCTGTTGGTTTTGCTGTTGGGGGTTTCATGGCTATAGCTATTGTTTAGTCGACTAGGTGTTCAGGGCATTGGTTCAGGTTTATAAATACATGTTTAAGGTGGTTGATTTCTTCTTGAAGATTTTCTTTTCTGCAAATATTTACAGCACGTTTGGTAAGAGTAGGTAGGTAGGTAGATGGCAAGTTAACGTTCGCTTCCAGCGGATGCTGATACATCGCAAACTAGGTAGTTGTTGGTAGTCGTAGTAGTTGGTAGTTAGATTGGATCAAATTGGATGATTTTGTGTTGTTGGTTTGGTTGTTGATTTTTCGTTAGATGTGGTCGGGTCGAATGACACGGCGGTGAAACTCGGCCCTGGATGGTGTGGCGTGAGTTACTCGAACTCCCTCATTCTTCCAAACTCGTTCTGATCATGATATTTCTTGTTGATTGGTAGTCGATTGGTAGTCATTGGTTTGGTTTGGTTAGATTATCTGTTATCTGTTGGAAAACTAGATGACCTAAAAACAAAAGAAAAAAAAATAAAGTGAGAAAAGAGGGAGGAAAAAGATAAAAGGAGGGGGGGGGGGAAGCTTTCAACAAAAGGGGGAAGGATGTTCTCTGATGTTTCTGCAATGAAAATTGTTAAATTGATTGGATATAATTTTGAGAAACTTTGAGTATAAAAATGACGCCTATCTGTTCAAGACAGATTTGGTTATAAAATGGAAGACTAGTTCCATTATCGTATACCAGTGGTCCGTGGGTGGAGCCAAAACATTCTGTATGGTGAGTGGTATGCCGTTGGTTTCCAGGTACTCTGTCAGTGGCTTACGAGCAAGTTCCAGTTCAGTGCATTGAATGAGGACATGCGACCTTGTGGCAACGTGGCCGCAGCGACATTTAATGGCGTTGAACTGATGGTCCCGTAGTACGTTGTTGGTCCGGAGTCTGGTTGCCACTTTGCAAATGGCTACAGATGGATGGTTTGGTTTGGTTTGGTTTGGTATCTTCGGATCAACCTGATATCTTGCCGTGTCGAGGTTCCGTAACATGTCGGCCCATTTCTGGTTGATCCTAGAAGATACGATACTGTAGAATTCCGAATAGGAGTGTTCTACAGGCTAGATATCCTCCAGACTCAGACTTTCCTTGGCACAACGGTCTGCCTGATCATTGCCAGGAATGGAGACGTGCGATGGAACCCATACTAGTTCAATCTTCTGGTCGTTGTTGGTTTGGTAGTTGTGGATCATTCTTCTTATTTCGGAAATAACTGCAATTAGAAGAGGTGAGAAAAATAGATTGAGAGCTGATGCTCTCTCAATAGATCAGTGACCGTAAGAAATACTCCGATTCTTCTGGTTATGTCCGACACGAGTAAATCATCTGATGCTGGAATACGTTGAACAGCTTTTGGACAAATACTGAAGTTTCCCCCTGAATTTGAGAGATAGTTCCTCCCTCCGAAGAGAGATGGGTTTCTCTCCCACCTCCTGAAGTAGCGCCTCATTCTTCGTACCTACGGCTGCCCTAGTGGCAATACATTTAGCTTCCATGTGTAGAACGTCGAGTTTCTTCAGTTGAGTATCACTTGCTTTACCATAGGCAATACAACCATAATCAATAACTGAACGAACCAGTGACCTGTACATCATCATTAGAGTTTGTCTGTTTGCTCCCCATGTGGTAATTCTCATGCTTAATCTTCACACCATTCAGTCTAAGGTCAATACTGTCGTGATCTTTCTTTCTGCTACAGAACAAACCGACGGTTTTAGCTTCCGAAATAATGAAGCCCCAGTCGTTTGCCCATATAGCTACTTTAGAGCAGTTTTTGGTAAGAGTGGAAATGATGCCTTTTTATACGTCCACATGAAATGAGTGGGGGGAGGGGGGGGGGGGGATGGATGAACCCTATTGAAAATCAGAATAATCGAAAACTATTTAGTATGAGTTATTGCCCTTGCTATTGAAAATGCGTTAAATTTTTAGCTTGTAAACACTTTAGAAGGGACAATTCTTGACAGAGTTTGACGAAACTTGACATGAGTGTTTGTTATCACCCAAGGATGAACCCTATTGAAAATCAGAAGAATTGAAAAATATTAAGTGTGAGTTATTGCCCTTGTTCTTGAAAACGCTTTCAAATTTAGCTCTTAAACACTAAATGGCGTGATTCTTGCTGGATTTTGACAAAACTTGGCTGAAGATTGAATATTTGCCTTCTAGAGTTTTCACGAGCTAAAAATTGAACACGTTTTCAAGAACAAGGGCAATAACTTATATTCCGTATTATTCAGTATCGCCCTAAAGAGTTCAAAAGAAGTGTACGACTGAAGGTTGAACATTTCATACTGGTGATTGTTACTGTACTGCTAAGTATTTTTATTCAAAATCAAAGCTGCCAGAGGGCGTATATTACCTTGCCTGGCAAGCTATCTTTTCGTTTGTAGGGAGTGGTTGGATTTATAATTATTTTATTTTATTATCTCAGTACATCGTCTACGTCTCGCGTTTATAACTTGAAATTATTCTTAACCAGGTGAATCTGGGTATTAAAGATTGAATTTAGAGGACTGGTGTTTTCATTTGAAAGAGTAATTTGGGCTGAATAGACAGGATAGACGCATAAGGATAAATTAGAACCCACAATACTATTATACTACTACCATTATATTAAAAGCTACATTTAAAGATATTTTTCATGTTATTATATGCATTAGGGGTTATAAGAGATACTCTCCTATAGAAGCACTGGCCCAGGTCTTTGGAAAAAAGTCATCCCTGGTATATCTGATTAGCTTAGCTAAAGAATCTTCGTAGGTACGATTGGTCGAACGTTGAAACTTTCCTTTTAAATATAAAATGTAAAAAAATGTCTTAATAACATATATACATATTAAATTTGATTTAAGAAATTGTAGGAGATTTTCCTTTATGTGTATTATGGCCATTATGGTTTCTGTTGAATCTGTCCATTTTTTTCCGTCTGATGCGGGTGATTCCGGTTACTATAGATATGCCTAACCTTACATGATGTCAAGAAGAGAAATCGAAATGGTGCAAGTCGATGCTATCAATTTCCCCTTTTTATCAAGGACCTTCGGCTATCTTTAGAAATCAGTATGTTGGGAATATTTATTAGAAAACTGTAATTGAAATACAATAATCCTAACCCATAATTAATTTTTGCCTTACGGATTATAAGTTTGAGTCAAGCTTTTGCTTAAAAACGACAGACGTGATAAACATAGAGTAATAAATCCGGTCCTAAATAACATTTCTACTTATATTCGAACAACATAACAGTTTCAAGAAAAAAACATCATTCATTATGAATTTGTATTTTGAAATATAAGTTTATTCTATCAATGGAGACCGGCTCTCTTCATAACAAATTTACCGATGTCTCCAAACATTGAATCGGAAGAATGGAGTGCTTCTGGACTCTCGTATTCACTAGGATCCGGATAGGTTATATGGATACACATAGTTTCGTTTCTCCAATCAAATTTTAGCTTATTCAGATGGCTGTACTTGTTATAACCTGGTAGCCATGTTGGATGGCATGCTTGATTTGCGCATATCACCTGTAAATGGGGTTCTTCGAGAACTAAATCTGAGTGTTGCTCGTAGATTTTGTAAGGCATGTAAACAGCGTTATAGGTCCAATCATTGTCTAAATAATAACGATAACTTTCTAGAAAGTATTGCATATATTTTGATCCTTTTTGAGCGATTAGGACACCCGGATTAAAAATATCTGGAAATTTTCCAGCACCTGGCCAATCAATGCTAACTATTGCATCGTATTTACGCAGTCTTTCAGGTATTGGATTTACCCACAAAACATCCCAATCACAATAAATGCCACCATAACGTATTAGAATATCGGCTCGAAGAACGTCACTTGCATGAGATGCCCACTTTATAATCTCATTTCCAAAAACAGATGTAGGGAATTCCCGAAATATAAATTTCACATTTGGGATCCTTTTAGCTTCATCCCAGTAAGGACCTATTGGTTTAACATCTCCATGAATGTAAACAAATTCAGCTTTAAGAACATAAACTGAGCTAAGCAAACCTAGATATTTATCAAATGTAAATGGTCTTTTACCGAGCCATACATAGTGCACAATGAGTGGTGCCATTTTACCCTCCTGAATCTGCGGGGTTCTTAGCTTTTTACTTCCATAATAAATCCAACGTGTTAGACGCCCGAATTCAGAGTCCAGTGTCATTATATCTTTTGGGAATATTTCAGAGTTAATAATAACACAATCACTAATTTTTGTGGAATGTTTAAAATTATTTTGATGAACACATATAAGATTAGAAGGCGTTGATTTAAGAAATGATGTTACTGAAGAGGGTCCTATTGCTCCACGTTTCATTAGAATTAGCTCAAACCCGGGAGAATATGAAAACTGTAAGTTTCTAAACCAAGAGAGCGAATTTGTTAATATTGTTGTTTCTCCGATGTATATCCCACCACGTTCGTTCAACGTCTTTAGGATAAGGTTTTTCCTAACACTTGCATCTGAACACATCTCTGATAGTTTCTCCTCCACAATAACTGGAATGTATCGAAACAGATCACCAAAGTATTGATAATAACCATATGTATCGAGCTTCGGTCTTACATAATAATGGAATATGATTCGGGTTGGCTTAAGGAACCGGAAAGCGCCGAAAATACTGAGATAATGTTGGAATTCAAATTGTTTATCGTGGCACCAAAAATAATGGACGGTTAAAGGTATTTGTAAAGTTACTAAATTTAATTCTAGATTGTTGCTCATTAAGTTGTATGTTTCGTTCGACATCATGAAATCACCAGGTATGAGACCATGTGAAAATGTTTTTACTGAGTATGGACTCTGATCTGAATCCTTGCGAATCATATTTAGAAAGTTTATAAAGGGTTGATTCTGTATTATATAATATATCAATACCAATGCTATTGAAGCTAGTATCAACCTTTTCATTGTCCTTTTGGACCAATTAAACCTGACAAATCTTGACATGGTGGAACAAATAGTTCTGATCTGAAATGAAAAGATGGAATATTGTTTAAAAGAGAATATGGTTTATAAATGACAATTTTATATGAACGGGTGGATATTCGTGTCTTCACAACCTAGGCCTATTCCTTGAACCAGCCAACTGATATTTAAGTCACTAATGGCTATCAGAGTGTTACAAAATGTTCGTAGATCACAAGAAATTATAAACTCTTGTTACGATCTCTTTGAAAATCCTCGAAAGACTTTCTGAGACAAGTCACACAATTCCTAGTTCAAGCCATCGCGTTCTCAAACAAATGTTCACAATGGATCCTAGGATCTCTCTACCAACCTCAGTGGAAAATACAATACAGTACTATCGACACAGTGTTCACTTCACCTCAGTTCACTCGTTGACTCAAATTTTGTGTTCTGGTCTTCTAACAATTGTCATTTAGAACTTAGCATTTTGTCCACTTTTACGTAAATCGGTAGGATTGACAGATCACATAAATTGTGGTGGAATATCTTTTAAAATTAAAACTGTCATCGTGAACATAAATTCTTTAACCAGAATTGTCCTACACGACACGCCTTGATTAGTTTATAATGACATAATTAAAACGGGACATGAGATCCTTTTTTTTTTGGCGACAAGCCCGGGAAGGGCATGCCATTAGACATACAGTTCAAAAGTTTTCTAACGAGTTCTTTGCTTAAAATAGAGCATTTTGGCATTTGCTCCTAGAAATGGCTATAAGTATCATGTATGTGTAAGACATTACGTTGGAGCATTAAAAACCATGAACTTTCAATTCAATCCAAATCTTGAAAAATTTACTCTGTAGGCCTAGGTCCATTCATAATAGGCCTATGGTCGGTCAGGATAATGTTTTGGTCAGAAAATGCCCTCTATATCAAAAGTACAAACGCCAAATCTATAGCATATTCGTGATATTTCGTGTATATAGGCAATAGTCACTGAAAGTACTATCTGGACCTACACTCAAAAATATTGACCTTCTAGTTCCAGGGTCAAGGTCAAAACAGATAACATATGAATATAAGTATGGAAATACTTACATAAAACACACCACACACAATATCAACAGCCTAGACGAAACCGACTGTCTTAACTTCTTAAAGTTATAACTGTAATTTGTTCATTAACCAGGAATTAAGATATGAATATATTAGTGTTCAGCATAATGAAGACACTAACAATAGCCTAGTTCCTACAGACGTTTGAATCAAACAGTATAGTAATAGACGTTGTACACGAATCAAGACCACGGCCACAGACTAGAACTAGAAGCATTCAAAACAGTCACATGACTCATTAACTACATGCATGCGTTCACTTGAGTTGAACACAACATAGTATATGTGATGGCTCAAGAATAATCGTAACATTTGTGAAAGATAACATGTTATCAAGTAGTAATTGTCCTGTATAGATAGTTTGATAGTAACAGAACATACGGCATGTACCAAATGGTGGCGAATAGTATGAAATGGTAGGTGACTTCAATCAATACCAAAATAACTGCGATCGAGATTTTACTTGGTTCAAAGGACAGAGTTCAAATGTTTTATTTTCACTCTATCAATTGGTGATAGAAGCAGAGTTCGTTGTCTTGATCGTGTTGATTTTAATCCTTCTCCTCAGAGTGTATTTTCATTGTTTCAAGTCGATCATTGTTTGACCCACTTTTGTCTCATTTATTTTATATTCATAGGAAGACGAGTTCATTGATATCATAGGGATTCAGACATAATTTGTTAAAATGGGATATACCATAATAGGAGGAACCGGTTATTCTCACCCTTTCTAACTCAGTTTTCGGCTCAACTGGTTATAATCAACACCCCAGTTTTATTGTGTAATATTTATATAAAACACACACAAAAATATCGTTCAGTATCCACTTTCTTGAAAGACAAACTTATACTCCATCATAATATGTAAGATCAGATCGCAATCTCAATTGCAATTTTTGGGGTTTTAGGGCGAATAAATTACTGTTTTTGAATCCCTTTATTGAAGAAAATTACATTGTTTAACATCATTGTTTAACTATTTATGTACTGCAGTTGAAATATTTCTATCTAAAATAATATATATCATACTTGTTATACATATTGATAATTTCAGGTTGAATATTATGTTATATTATGTTTATTATAATATAAATACGTCAAATATTTCTTTCTTCAGTGAAACCAAATCGAGTAAATGAAACGCGAAATGGTAGATGCATTTAATGAAAATATAATGGTTTACCGAATGTCTAAAGTTATCCGATGTGTACCGAAGCAAGTCGTGCTTTTGATATTGCTGTTGACCAGTGTTGTGTTTTGCTATTTTTATTCTCTGGATAGTTACAAACGATATAATCCATACATCTTAAGACATTTGCCAGAAAATTCTGAGCACATATACAATTCATTTTCTAATAGTTATCTTGTCGACCTGCAATCGAACACACCTTTTTTGACTGTACATTACTTGTGGTGCAAATCCAATACAAGAAATGTTTTCGAACATAGACATTATTTGGGAATTATGAGTATATTGAAACAGCTTCACCCAGATCAAATATTTGTCCACTATGAGGATTTCCCTTTGAGTGAAAATCCAGCCGTTGATTGGATCGAAGATTTAAAAAGAGATGTTGCCATTTTGAATTTCAGACCCATGACATCTGCAGCCAGTTTATGCAGTGCTCAAATTATGGATCTAAAGATGAATGGCATATTTGTCGAGAGTGATGTTATTGTCGCCAATTTAAGTCGTGCATATGTTATTTCTCTTCTGGGATTTTGCCAAAAATCCAAAAATAGCTGTATCAAAAACAGTCTCTTCCCACCGTCAGGGAAACTTCTCCTAAAATCACCCACATCTATAGAACTCAGGGAAAATGTGGAGGTTCTGAATTGCCAGCCGTTCAAACAAATAGATTCCCAAATATTTCTTCCAAGATGTGTTTTAAGTGATAATCAGTTCAGAGTCGGTGACATCCAACAAGGTGACAATGTCTTTCATAAATCAATGCGAACAATTTTATACGGAAATTCTGAGAGTGTGAAACCGCTTTTGAGTTCATCTACCATTCCACTTTATGGTCACATCGTCTCAGAAACGTTCACCTCAAAGGTCTACATCAGTATTCTTAGTGCCGTCAATTCCGGTAAAATAAAAACTATATTCTACCACGGTACAGAGTTACCGTATGGAACCTACTGGAATAAATTGAAAGAAACTGGTGCTAAAATTCATTTCGTTGAAGTGGATTCAAAAACATTCCCAAATACCAAAGCTTCTTTACACCAATATAACTTTTACATTCTTTTGCAATATGGTGGAATAATTTTTACAGAACTTGTCATATGGCAAAAGGAAATCCCTCCCGATATCCTTAAGTTTGACACAGTTGGAACTGTACTTCCGTTTGAAGGAGACACAAAACTCTTTGACCTCAATGTTTTGATGGCGAAACCAGGGGCGTTATTTTTACGAAGTATTTTAGCAATAAGTCAACAGCTGGGCTCTAAATCAAATGAGTTGATAGTTAATTATGCATCGTATCATATATATGAACTATATCCCAAATATGTGTATATGCATACCAATTTAATTCGGTATGTTAATTGTAATATTGCGTGTACTGTGGACCACAAAACATTAACAATTGTTGATAATAACTCCATTATAAACGATGAGGAGTCGTATCATAAAATACTCAAACACTGAAGTGCTTTCAAAGAGATATGATTGTATTGACGTAAGCTGGCGATTGGTTTTCCGTCGGCTCCATTTTTTGACTATATATTCCTTATTATATTCCAAAATTTGTTGCGTTTTTGTTGTGCGAATTTGGTAAAAAATTTGAAGGAAACCACCTCCCACTGTTCTCACCAATCTAAATGATAATAAAAGATATGAACTATCTTGGTCAATATATTCAAATGCCCTTTCCTTATGCAAACACAAACAACATGTACATGTATATACTTTGCGTTTGTATATGTGAAGAGCCGTACATCGTTTATTCGCACCTTAACTGGTACACTTCTAGCCATTATTTGCACTTAAAAACGAATTAAACATGAATAAATATCGTGAATGTATGATTCAGTTTTGAATAATAACCCTTGATTTTTTAGGATATCAAGTCTATAATAACCTATCTCCCTGCTACTTAGATCGCTGTTATTAATAAAGTGAGTACGGAAAACTCCCAGCTCTCTTATGTAAAAATAAACCGTGGTCAGCTTCTACTGATCTTGTTATCTACTACAGCCACTTTCATGGAAGTGAACCACGGTCAAATCTATTTATTGATGGCCAGCAAAAAGTAAAATTTGAGCGGATTTAGGTAATCCTCTAAATTTAATAATTTCGGTCCAAAGAAAATCTATTATCAATAGCTATAATATTAATACCTGTTTTTATGCCATTGTTCATTTTCCGGGTGCGATTTTAAGCAAACCCTAAGGTAAAAGGAAAACATGTCTAAAAGGAAAATAAAATGCATGAAGATGCGCCAGCACCAAAAAGGCTATAGGTCTATAGCACCTGAACGCGAAAAAAATAAGATTACTTTTATTTCATTTCTTTTTGCATGCACTTCAAGCACCTTACATTATTGTGACCTTTAATTTTCATACATCCATCTTCAATATAATTATAGAGTGGTGTAACCTATTTTCGTGGATATAAGGATTCAACACCGAATTTCGTCAAAGTTAAAAAAAATTTATGCCTTAGAGGTTTCCTCAGATATTCTACCAAATAATTAAAATTGGTTTATTTCGACATTCTTTATGAATCCTTCACTTTGACCCATATTTCATGAGCAACCAACTCGGCAACGGCGGCAGAATGCCTCACTTATTTTCGTGTACAATGTTTGATCTATAAATAAGTCTAGAAAAACACGTTGTATGGATACCGGGTGGTATAATTAACTTCTCTTAGTATTTATCTTTAATATCAATTCATTATAACTAGTGACAATTCCTTCAAAGAACCACGATTTTAAAAAAATAGTGACTGACAAAATAAGATACGTAGCGTGGTTTATTGCTAAAAGTCACTGAAACAACATAAGAATATGGTCCACTTTGTGTTCCATAGAAATTTTCTGCTGACATGGAATCCACCTATTTCATTTCGCTTTTGGCAAAGTAACCCTTCCATAGTAAATTGTTAGGACATCGTGCGTCTTGTAATAAATTATATTATGACTGTTGAAATTAATAATATCCCTGACAGATGTGCTGACATTGTTTCATATGATTTCAATTAACAAATCGATTTTACATGAAGACATATCGATGGAAACACCACTGATCAGTTATTTGCGCACGTTGTCCAACTGGCACATGCGCATCTGTAGTAAATAGAAATCAACTTCCGGTGACTGTGCATTTACAAAATTCAGATTTTGGCGTTAAAAAGAAAGAAAAATGCCGACATACAAAGGTAACACATGTTTAAATATATATTCAGTCTCCAGGAAAAGTTATCTGTTTTTGAGAAAATTACGGATAAGATATTCATCTTATGATTTTAAAGTTTGTTTTGCAAAAAAGGCCGGCGGTATGTTTGCACTTCCAGTTCCACATTGTATTTGTAATCATCCATGCTTACATGTAGTTTAGACTTCTCCTTCTCGCGTATAGTCCGAAACATCACTCCTCAGATCTATTCTTACCTGCAACAGATAAATAAATCTTAGGTCTGTATATTTAGGATTAAAATACCCTCTGACCTTTGGACACTCCTATTTGATTCTAAATGTATTAAAGAAACAACACAGTGGTGTAACCTATATGCGTGCATTTAGGGATTCAACATCGAATTTCGTCACAATTAATTCTAACGTAAATTTTTTTTATGTCTTATAAGTTACTTCAGATATTCTACAAAATAATTGAAATTGGTTTGTTTCGATTTTTTTTTTATGAATCCCTTACCTTGACCCATCTTTCATGAGTAACCAACTCGACAATGGATGCCTAATGCATCACATATTTTTGTGTACAGTGTTTGATCTGTTTGACACCTGGAATTCCAATTACAGCTTGGGATTATAAGGAAATTCGGCTGATAAAAAAATTGTGATATTCGGTAATAATTTAAATCCGCCATATCGTATTTGTCAAACTATACATTAATACATTTTAGTTTGCTTGAAACTACTAGATTCATTCTACTAGCTGACATTGTAGAGATAACCAATGTTTATCAAAACAAGCAAATGCGGAGGTCACACGAGATCACACATGTAAATTATTAATCATTTCTAGAGATGCTTGATAAATAGGTTAGCATTAGGTTACTTGACGTTCATTTTAACACTTGACAGAAATGGTCAAAAAAGTTTAATTATTTTATATAAGCTTATTTATGGCCTTAAAAATTGTTAATTGAGTGATTTTTAAAAGCCTTTTAAACTGATTCTTATGATTTGATTCCAGTGTCAGTGAAATGGGGTAAAGAAAAGTTTAATGATGTAGAGTGTAATACAGATGAACTCCCAGAAGTATTTAAGGCTCAGTTGTTTGCTCTATCTGGGGTACAACCTGACAGACAAAAAGTTATGATGAAAGGGGCTGTCTTGAAGGTTTGTAGAAATTCAAGCATAAATTATTGGGAGAGTAAGGTGAAATTATTAAGTTTACTGACAAGTTACAGTGTGTTAAATGAATATGGTAACTTGTATTGTAAGTACCGGTAATGATTTTTTAAAGCAACTCCCGTGACTTTAAAAAAATTTTGTTCATTAGACTACTGCATGATTATCTCCCCCATGGTCCTGTGAACAGACAGTCAATCTTTTTCATCACTTTATCTTGATTCTTTCAGGATGATAGCTGGGGAAATCTCAAATTAAAAGATGTAAGTATCAATATTTTTTTACTTCACAGTGGTAGCTTGATACCATTGTGCATTTATAACAATTTTTTTAAGTTGATAATTCTTCTGTATATTGAGTTTTAAGCAGAAATAACACAAAACAGATTAGTTTTCAAGATATTAGTGCTCTAAAGAACAAAAACATATCTACTTATGAAGTAGTGTGTCGTAAAGAAATAAACATTTAATTTGACAGTATGTAAATGAATACACAGAATATATGGTAACTTGAAATTATAATATGATTATAAGGTTATAATCAACAATTTGCAACAGTATTTAAGAAAACTAAAATAACATTTAATATTATGAATGATAATTTGTTCTAATAATGGTCTGATGCTTTGTTTTTTCAGGGTGCAACGTTGTTAATGATGGGAACAGCTGATGCACTTCCAGAGGCACCAAAAGAAAAAACAGTTTTTATGGAGGATATGTCTGAAGCACAACTAGCAAATGCTGTAAGTTGATTGTCTAATATCTGTCTAAGAACATGTATGGGGATTGCTTTTGACATCATTCATGAATATCATACATGTAAAAATGCGTCAAAATTGCCTTGTAGGCAAGATAGAGACTACAGCTTTTTATACGCCCACACGTAAGATGGGCGTATATTGTAATCACCCCGTCGGTCCGTCCGTTCACATTTGGCTCGTGCTCACTCTACAGACTACAGTTCTTTATGGATTCTTTTGATTTTTATTTTGTGTGTCAATGTCATTATGAAGATGATCCCTATTGATTTTCGTGATGATCGGATAATTTTTCACCGAAATATTGTGTCTGACTTGACGTTTTTCTCTATTAGCTATATTGTGCAACTTGTGCTCACTCTACAGGCTACAATTTTTTACAGATTCTTTTGATTTTTATTTTGTGTGTCAATGTCATTATGAAGATGATCCTTATTGATTTTCGTGATGATCGGATAATTTTTCACCGAAATATCGTGTCTGACTTGACGTTTTTCTCTATTAGCTATATTGTGCAACTCGTGCTCACTCTACAGGCTACAATTTTTTACAGATTCTTTTGATTTTTATTTTGTGTGTCAATGTCATTATGAAGATGATCCCTACTGATTTTCGTGATGATCAGATAATTTTTCACCGATAAATATGGTGTCTGACTTGATGTTTTACTCTATTAGCAACTCGTGCTCACTCTACAGGCTACAATTCTTTACAGATTCTTTTGATTTTTATTTTGTATAGTCTATGACGTTATGAAGATGATCCCTATTGATTTTCAAGATGATCTATCGATTTTCATGATGATCGGATAATTTTTCACCGAAATATCGTGTCTGACTTGACGTTTTACTCTATTAGCTATATTGTGCAACTCGTGCTCACTCTACAGGCTACAACTCTTTACAGATTCTTTTGATTTTTATTTTGTATGTCACGGAAATATCGTGTCTGACCTGACGTTTTTCTCTATTAGCTATATTGTGCAACTCGTGCTCATTCTACAGGCTACAATTCTTTACAGATTCTTTTGATTTTTATTTTGTATATCAATGTCATTATGAAGATGATCCCTATCGATTTTTGCGATGATCGGATAATATTTCACCGAAATATGGTGTCTGACTTGACGTTTCACTCTATTAGCTATATTGTGCAACCCTGTAGTCACTAAAGACTGTTTAATCATTTCTGACAGCTGCCAGTGGGCATATGTTACCTTGCCTGGCAAGCTATCTTTGTATGTATTGATGAGATCTCAGTCAAGTTTGTAATTGGTAATAATCTGATGAACTGTTTAAGAGTTATTGCCCTTGACTTATTAAAAAAACGTCAAATTTGCCTTGTCAGCATGATAGAGAATACAGTTTGAATACATCTGATCTTGATGAAACTAGATATGCATGATGAGATCTTGATCAAATTAGAAATTGTTAATATTCAGATGATGAACAGTTTCAGAGTTAATGCCCTTGAGTGTATAGCAATGAGACATGGTTCATGTTTGAATTTGATGATAACTTCATAAACTGGAAAAATGTTACAGTATTTGAGAATTCGTTTTTTTTTCGGTGAAAATTTTATTACAATTATTAATTAAGCTTATGCCATCTTTGTTGATTTGACAAATTATGAATTTCAGTTAGAGATGCCTAGTGGGTTAACTAATCTTGGTAATACTTGTTATATGAATGCTACTGTACAGTGTTTAAAATCTATACCTGAATTGAATGATGCCTTAAAAAGGTAAGATAATTAGACAGAATATACATCTATAGAATAATAATGATGAGAAAGTTATGATATTGTTATATTACAATCTTAAGAAAAAACCAAAATGGAGTTACCAGTACATGTTACAAGATACACTATATAATAAAAAATATGTATGTGAGTTTTTGTTAGTACATGTATTTTGTATTGAGATTTCGGGAGATTATTTTTTGTTGTAGATATTCTGGAGGATTAACAGTAGGAGGAGCTATAGCACCAGCTGATTCTATTACAGCAGGTAATCAATCTAGTTTATTTTCTTTATTTTCAATATCACCTGATACAATTACTAGGTATTTTTAGTTACAGAATGCAACAACTGGTCTTTGCTGAAGTTTCACTATCATAAATAACATTTCATCCAAATGCTAATTTCAGCTATTATCCTTATTTTTATAATTTTTACAAAATTCCAGCTCTGAGAGATTTATATCAGTCACTAGATAGATCTGGCACTGCCATACCACCTATTATATTCTTACAAATATTACATATGGCCTTCCCCCGTTTTGCTGAGAAAGGAGAAGAGGGAGGCTACCAACAACAGGTAGGAGAATCTGGACATTTTTATACACTTTTGATTAAATTTCTGAAATGATTTCTTCAGCATTTTGTAAACATTTTGAATTTGAACTGAATATGTTCTAAAACTTCAGTCTAGAAAATTTAATATAATAAATGTCTGCCATATAATGGTATGTCAATTTTTTTTATACACACTACTTCAAAATTTAGTGCGTCATTTTTTTTATTCAAAATGATGATAATATCATAAATTTGGTCTATAACATACTGGTAATTAAATTGAGCCCATGTCTTATACAATATAGTGTTAAAATTCTGTCAGAGGTAACAACATTTAATCTTGCTGATATGTATATTGTTTGAATTCAATTAATTATAACAGCTGTATGATGGCCCATGAGCGCCATAGCTGTTTTATTATTTTATTAATGAAAAAAATATTCTTTTTAATTTGAATTCATTTTACTTTCACTTTCATTTTAAATTCATTTTACTTTCATTTCGTTTTTTATTTTACTTTTATTTTTATTTCACTTTCATTTCGTTTTTTATTTTACTTTCATTTTGTTTTTAAATTCGTTTTACTTTCATTTCGTTTTTTATTTTACTTTCATTTCGTTTTTTATTTTACTTTCATTTTGTTTTTATATTCATTTTACTTTCATTTCATTTTTACTTTTTATTTCACTTTCGTTTTGTTTTTAAAATCATTTTACTTTTTATTTCACTTTCACTTTCGTTTTGTTTTTAAAATAATTTTAATTTTACTTTCATTTCACTTTTTATTTTACTTTCACTTTCGTTTTGTTTTTAAAATCATTTTACTTTTACTTTCATTTTCATTTTAAAAAAAAGTAAAATNGATTTTAAAAACAAAACGAAACTAAAAGTAAAATAAAAAGTGAAATGAAAGTAAAAGTAAAATTATTTTAAAAACAAAACGAAAGTGAAATAAAAAGTAAAATGATTTTAAAAACAAAACGAAACTAAAAGTAAAATAAAAAGTGAAATGAAAGTAAAAGTAAAATTATTTTAAAAACAAAACGAAAGTGAAATAAAAAGTAAAATGAATTTAAAAACAAAACGAAAGTGAGATAAAAAGTAAAAACGAAATGAAAGTAAAATGAATTTAAAAACAAAATGAAAGTAAAATAAAAAACGAAATGAAAATAAAACAAATTAAAAACAAAATGAAAGTAAAATGAATTTAAAAACAAAATGAAAGTAAAATAAAAAACGAAATGAATTTCAAAATAAAATGAAAGTGAAATAAAAATGAATTCAAATTCAAAAGAAAGTATTTTCATAAATAAAATGATAAAACAGCTATGGCGCTCATGGGCCACCATACAGCTGTCACTATATATTTAATATAATAATATTATATTATTATCTGGTATAATTTCTAGGATGCTAATGAATGTTGGACAGAAATAGTACGAAGTTTACAACAGAAATTACCAGCAATAGGACCATCAAACTCTAATACAGTTAATACTGCTAGTAGTTCACAAGGTTTTATAGATCAATTTATGGGTGGAGAGTTTGAAACAGTGTATCCTTTTTGAGCACATAATCAAATTACCTTTAATAAATCATTTCAAACATGTTGTCTAGCAGGCCTATACTATAAAATATTTTTGAATTTTTGCTGATTTTTATATACCCACACATTGTTTAGGTGTATACTGTAATCAACCTGTTTTTCCATCAGTCCGTCTGTTCACTTTTGGCTTTTTCACGGAAATATTATGTCTGACTTAGCGTTTTTACACTATTAGCTGTATTGCGCAACTTGTGCTCACTTTACAGGCTACAATTCTTTTGATTTTTATATGCCCACATCAAGGCTTTAAATAAGCTTCCGGACATGGCCATTGTCCGGTACAATTTCGCCAAATGTCCGGTGTAATCTAGTTTTAGTCGAACATTTTTGTCCGGTATCACATATATGAAAAAAATCGTTAAGGAGGTCCGACCTCGTGTGAGATAGTGATTTTACATCAAATATGTCTGTTATTTGCAATGCACATTGAAATACGTTAATGAATAAATGACTTGAACAAATTGCATGTTTCTCATTGTTAATTCCATGATTCATTGATGGTTGGTTACATGGCCTATGGCCTACTTGCATCTCCCAAAGGTTGCACAGGCCTGGTCTAGATCATCCAGATAAACTAGCACCTAGAGAGGACATGCAAGGTCTGGATGATAAAGTCAAAACAAGAATGAACGGTATACAATTAGTTCAAGTCGTTTATCCGAATCTTTTAGTAATGTTAATTCTATGATTACTTTATAAAAACATGAGATGATCTTTCATATGATACTATATATTATAATCATGATTCGTTGATACTTTTATTTCAAATATTACATAAGAATTTGATACAAAGATGATACACTGACCTGTAGGAAATTTTCAGACACCATGTTAAATAATCACCTTATTTCTTATAGACGAAAGTAGAAAAATAATGAAAGTAGGAAATTCATTGCCTGATATAAATAGATATCCTTCAATCAGATAAGTTATTACTTCCGACGGCTCTTTTTTTTATAATCTTCGAACATTATGCCCAGTCCAATTTCTGGAGTTATTTCAAGCCTTCGCCCACATGAATATGTTTCTTGTGGGCACAATAGAATTTTCAATGGATTTTGATGAAACTTGGTGTGAGCTACGATAAGATGGCAGTCAAGTTCGAATTTAACGATTTTTCTGTATTTGAGCTATTGCCTTTGACCTAGTAAAAGCACATCAAATTTGCTTGTAAATATGATAGAGGCTACAGTTTATATCAGGTCTTGATGAAGCTTTGTATTCATGTATATTATTGATAAGATATTGATCATGTATATTATTATGTTGATAAGATCACGGTCAAGTATGAATTTGGCTCATTTTGAAAGAAAGGTTTTTGAGTTATTGCCCTTGTAAACACGATGGGGGCTACAGTTTTTATCAGATCTTGATGAAACTTGGTATGCAGGTTTATATTAATTAGATCTCAGTAAATTTCAAATTTGTGTATGTAGATGAGACCTTGTTAGTGTGAATTTGATGATACGTTATTATATATCTTTGAAAATTTCAGACACGAGAGGAGTGTGATAATTCAATGCTTCTGGGTTATATTGCTATTGATTTAAAAAGATTTGTGGAAAAACTCTACATAACTGACCCTAAATTGATGAAATATTCAGGGTTTTTGAACTATAAATGCATAATGAAGATCTTGAATAGGAGAAATTTCGTATAATTATAATGATCTTTAATATATTTTTGGTCAATAAAGACTTAGTTATCATCTCTGACAGCTGCCAGTGGGCGTAAGTTACCTTGCCTGGCAAGTCATGTTTATTTCAATGGGTCAATGTCATTATGAAGATGATCCCTATTGATTCTCGTGATGATCTTATAATTTTTCACCAAAATGTTGTTTCCAACTTGGCGTTATCACTCTAAAGATGTGATACAATAAATTTGCCTCTAAATTCTCTATAGACCAAACCAAATGGTCACCAAAACATGAACCAAATGTGAATGGACAACAAACAATGATTTGTACTTGCAATTAAAGCTGCTAGTGGGTGTATGTCACATTTTGCAAGGCTATCTTTAAATGTTTTCTAAGGATGAAATATAATGGCATCATGGCAAAATTTTAAATATATAGAACAGTGTAAACAGGCAACACTATGTATCTTGTGTTCGCCCATTTCTAGAATAATCCTTAACACACTAAATAGAATGAAATGTAATGAAGCTGATGATGAAATAGAGACAAAGGGGTCAGAAAAGTTTTATCAACTTTCTTGTTTTATAGAAAAAGGTATGTCCATCTTTAGTCTATGTACTTATATATAATCTGTTCTGTTTTGAATTAATACTCTTCCATAATATATAAATGAAACTTTGAACATAATGTGATATCTTTAAAAGTGTGTGTAATATATATATATTATTTAATAAAGTTTATATATTTGTATGTTGTAGAAGTGAAATATATGCATACAGGTTTACGGTCGGTAAGTATCTTATTACTGGCTAAAATATCCTCTGTAAAATGGGGACTTTCATATCTCTGCAGGTTCAGGTTTTTTAAACCTATTTAGATACGTTGGTTCTGCAAAACCCAGATATTGGAAAGATGAATATTTTTGTAGTCTCATGATACTAATAAATTAAAAGATACTGTTAACAGGTTTCTGACTCTACTCCAGCTGACAACTGTCAAAATATCAGAGACTGCAATAGGACTGTAATATGAAAGCAATGTATGCTTTTATATTGCTTCTGTATCTGTTAACTGAAAATTTCTGACTGTGTTTTAATAAATTTTATGGTTTATGTTTTTTTTTCAGAGATTACAAGAAACAATAACAAAACTGTCCCCAACTTTAGGTCGTGATGCATTATATACTAAATCTGTAAGTGCCACATAAATGCACATGTCTAAACATTTCATTTCACTTTTTCATACAAACTGAACTAACTAATTGCCTAATGTTCACCTTAATCTGTCAATATGATTGTTTCCAATATGAATCCAAACTAGATACCTTGTTTAGAAATAAAATTGATATTCTTGTAACTTTGATCTAGAAGAACTCCCTGCAATGTAGATAGTAAAGAGTATGCCCATAACATCAAATGAAAATGGTTTATATCAATGTATAAACAATATTAAATGAACCAGAAAGATAGACCTCAATTTCAGGAATTTCTAATCGTGTCCTGATATTATCTGCATGCCCGTTTTTGGAATTTGCAAAAATTTTACATGAAATGTTGGAATTTTATTCTTAAATGCTTATAGCGACAGTTTGCTCTAATAGCTGACAAAGCAATTGTTTACTTCGGTAGATCCCAAGGGTAGATATAAATTTGTAATGCAACAATTTACATTTCAGAGTAAAATTAATAGATTACCAGCTTATTTAGCCATACAGTTTGTTAGATTTTATTATAAAGAAAAAGAATCAATTAATGCTAAAATATTAAAGGTGAGTTGTAGCATGTTTGGAAAAAAAAATTGATAAAATTGAAATCAGATAAAATTAAACTTTTGGTACAAGGCAGGGTTAACTATCTAGTTGAATGAATTTGCTGGGTTTCTAGCTTTTGTTTATTTGTCAAGTTGTTTGTCCATCTAAAATCTGTGGTGTGGTGCGCTGCAATTTCAAAGACCAGATAAAGATTTCACTAAAGCAGGTACCTTTTACCAAAATACCTGAAATGTCATGATGATTATTTTTAGGATGTGAAATTTACTATGAGTTTAGATGTATATGATTTATGTACACCAGAATTACAGGCTAAATTAGTACCAATGAGAAATAGATTTAAAGAGCAAGAAGATAAATATTTAGAACAGGCCCAACAGGTTGGTGTAATTTTAGATGTAAACTTACCTTGTGTGTATGTGGATAGCTACTTTTTCAATTAGGAAATAGTATTATGGTAAAAATACTTCAGAGTACACATTTCCCATTGGTCAGGAGCATACAAAGTTTCATATTGACAATACTTTTCACATTTTATCTGTCTTATTTTCCAAATATTTTTCTGTATACTATGAATAGTCGAACACCATATTGCCTCCATTCTTTCAGCTCAAACAAAAAGGGTCAGGAGAAAAACCAGTAGAAAAGAAGAAAAAAGCCGAACCTTATTCTTTCCCTGATGGTAAGTACACAATCTGATAGATATGTAGATTCAAGTTTTTCCTCGCATATTCTGTGGGTGTTAAACAATCTATCAACTGTTAAAACTCGTTTCAAATTCTATCCAGTTGAGTTTTGAAGAAACAGATAACATCACAATATAATACGTTGAATAAAAAGCACAGTTAAAATGGACATTCAAACGCATTTTTTAAACAATAAATACCCCATCATTACTTACAATTGGTAGACATAGCTTTTTCATAACAATTTCCATAGATCATAGAAAGCTAACACCTGGTCTCATGTCTCATTACACCTATAAGCTTGTGTATTTATTTGGGATATGATTGTATTGTTTGTAGATATTGGTTCTAATAACAGTGGTTACTATGAATTAAGTGCTGTGTTGACACATAAAGGAAGGTCCAGTTCTAGTGGTCATTATGTAGGCTGGGTGAGGAAGAAGGGAGGTAAGAATTTCATTAAATACTACAATAAATGTCTTGAGAAATAGTTTAACATGTGAAATAAGTCAGTTGCAAGGAATATAAACATACTTTCTGGCACAGTTGTTAAATTAAACCAATTGACATGATTCTATCCTTTTTAAGACTAAGGTTCCATCATTGCACACTGTATGGAAAACATTCATTAGCCCTATCAGTCACAGAAACTTAATGTTAAACAAAATTTCAAGTATATTTAAGAAATTCTACATGATTTATAGATGAGTGGTTGATGTTTGATGATGATAGAGTATCACCTGTCATGTCTGATGATATTCTCAAGTTATCAGGGGGAGGTAAGTTACCTTTATATAAACCTCTACTCTAGTCTCAGATTGACATCAGGTGTTCTTGTAGGGGAATATGCCTTATATAATACTGTGAAAATAATTTTTCACAACTAAGGTTGTTGGAACATCTTTAAACATCGTCAACAAAGTAGAACCACATTTGCTATTTTGCATGGGGTCAAGATGAAGGTTATAGAAATTGTGAAAATCAATGTTTACAATTCGATAATCATCAAATTTCGAACATGGTTTTAAGGACTGAGACACAAGATAATGTCACATGATTTTCAAACTGGCAAATACTTACGTTTTGAAGATCATAATACACCATGCACCAAACTTATGAGTATGGGCAACCCCTCTTCTATGATAAAGGCTTCTGAAATAGAACTGTATGGATAGTTTACCTGTGTCCTATCTCTTTATTGAAAAGAGAGCATGGTTCAACAACAATCAAAATGTAAATTTCTTTCAACAACATCTGGCTTGGTTGAAAGAAATGGCAGCAGAAGATACAAGTTCAGCTTATACTGTGTCTTCTAATGGACTGCAAAGCTGATAAATGTCCATATTAAATTCTAAAAAAACATATACAGAACAGGATAAAAGAGTAAAACGTGAAATGGCCTTGAACGCTGACAGAATGTGACAGGACTGGCGGGAACATGCTCACATTCATTGTAGAGTGTTACAAAACAGTTAGTTGCCTAGTCGCCCCTGCGAGACATCCTTACTCCCTCCTCTTAGGGCCAATCAGAAATATTGCAATATACTGTGGGAGATCAAAGAAAGTCCAAACTCAACTTGTTTACAAATAAGAAAAATAATTCAAAATCCCACAGCATTCCACAATTCAGACAAACAGGGCTGCTGTGGCTGACTGGTAAACAGTGTAAACTTGTAAATCCAGTCTATCACTGTTTCCTTCAGGCCTATTGTCTAATAATATCTATGTATAGAATTATACCCCACAGTGAAGATTAGACAGTCTGTGTAATATAATATATTGATCTCAGTATTGACAAACACAACTAGAAGTTCATAATTAGAACCAATGATCAGACAAAATATTAATTACATTTTTTTAGAACTCTAATTATTAATCTGTTTTCTTACTAATGAGTTTATCATGATAATGTTTCAGTAGTCTAGATTATTAAGGATTATTATTTTTTGGAGTAATCAGGATATCAATTTGACATTTCAATTGCTTAGCAATGGATCAGTCTCTGAGAATTAAAAATGTGTGTTTTTTTTCTGTATTTAAGGTGATTGGCATTGTGCCTATGTTTTATTATATGGCCCTAGAATACTAGAAGTAGACGAGGGATCTGAAGCCACCCCAGAACCAATGACAAGCTGAATATCTTCAAATTGGAATAGTGAGAGTGACCATTATTTAAAGGGAGGATTGGGAGCAAGAGCCAATTACTTGGTAATATATGGATACCTCAAAATATTGACTGTCAACCTTCAATTCATTACACTTTATGACATATTCATTGTTTGTATGTGATATTAAACAATAAAACATTTACACTATAGAAAATATTGAAATTTCAAATAGCTTTGTAATACCATTTTGTTAAATGACAGTCATCTACTGATCTATTGTCATAGCTTTAATAATTCTGAAAGTGCTATTTTTTTGTTTGAGATTTGTTCACAGTAAATATGTGAAGATTGAGTTTTGTTGAGCCATTTGATTCAAATAATTGTTATATAATTTCTCATTTCATAATAATTTCTTGATTAAATTTCAACATTTCTAAATGTACAATGGATTGTGTTTATATTTTTTCTGTACTAAATTCACAGAGCCGAAAGACTGGATCCCACTAGACTCTGTAGAAATCTTACATGTATCCATTGACTTTATACAATACATTAAGCTACATCAGGCTATGGTTTTATTCATTCTTCCGAACACCATTAGATAATATATAACAAACTATCACATGGTACAGAGGGTCTGTTTCATACTGTTCTTTTCTCCAGTTGTATTATGTCAAATTTAATATTTCACATAAGTAGTAGAAAGCGACAAGGTAGATTTAATCCATATGTACAACGCCTTGTTCTATTTTTACTTGAGAGCTGGTATGTCAGAATAAACAAGTAGATATTATATAATGACAAAAGCACACATCAACAATTATCAGATGATTCAAATTAAGGCACATGTCAAATATGATATCTGGAGCTATTCGTCCATTCATTAAAAACAATACATAAATTTTGCCCCACCCTTCTTATTATCTTTTAATAATGGAATAAGGCGAAATTAGTCGTCTTCGGGGCAAGTCTAACAGCCTATTGCATTGTCCAATGATTAGTATCAGGCTGTATTGCACACTACCTCATTCTGGCCACACAAAAAAATGTTTACGTGTCAAGCACCACTCTCTGCAGGTAAACGTTTGGAGGGGGGTGGTATTTTGTCTGTTGTGACTCATTTTGGCGAAAATTAATCAAAGATTTGACATCAGTCGTTCCATGTCACAAAGTTTATGTTTTAACTTCGTTGGATAATATCACGACTTGTCCCGTGTTCTACTCCTTATTCGGCTCCTCGACCGGTTGAACATCAGACATTTCATGGCGAACACTCGCTGAGGATGTACATGTTCGTTCTATGTAGGTTGTAGTTGTGTTGATTGCTGAATCTGTAACCGAATCCAGATCTCTTAGATAATGTTTCACCTTTTCCTGACCCCGGTTTATATTGTTGTAGCTAGAATTTGTAGATGCAGATTTACTCGCGTGACAACCCATCTAGGCTAAATAGTTTCACCAAATTCTCACTTTTTTTTGTCGAAGTAGACTTATTCAGAGTCCTTATTTTATTTTGAAAACTTGAACGGTAAATGTTAACGGGTGTTTAAATTTCCATAACAAGACCAGGACAGAAAATGAAATGAATGGAGTTTTACGTCCTACTTTTCTGCACCATGTGGGCTAATGAAGACGAAGACCAGGACGGAGGGAAATCCAATAGTTGCAGTGCAACAACAGAACTATGATATTCCGAACACATAAACTGTTGATTTGTGAGTTCCGCACGATTCCGGTCAAGATGTTATCTAAATAATCAAAACCTAGACTATTCTCCAGAAAGAACTTCAGAAAAAAATCATGCCTTATGAATAGCAAACAACATTAATTAATTAAGTTATGATTAGATCAGGGTTTCTCGGATATACAGCTCCTATTTCACTTTTGATATCACAACCCTCACTATTATATCACAGCAGTCACTAATCCTATCAAAGCATTCACTGTTTATATCAAAACAGTCACGAACAGTAACTGTTTGATTATACCAGAATAGTCATAGTTTATGTTAATGTATATCAGAACAGAGACTTTATACCAAAACGGTCACTATTTATGCAAGAACAGTTCTTGTGTATACCACATCAATCGCTGTTAATACCAAAACAGTCATTGTCTATATAAGAGCGGTCACTATTTATTCTAGAGCAGTCACTATTTATACTAGAACAGCCACTATTAATGATAAGAATGGTAACTGTTTGTATAAGAACTCGGAACAGTCACTATTTTTATCAGAATTGTCACTATTTAAATGAGGACGGGCACTATTCACTATTTATATCAGAATGGTCACTATTTATACTAGAACAGCCTTTGGTTACATGAGAACAGCCACTACTTTCTATTAAAACAGTCACCACTTTTTAGTAGAACAGTCACTACATTATATTAGAACAGTCATTACTTTTTACTAGAACAGTCACTACTTTTTACTAGAACACTCACTACTTTTTACTAGAACACTCACTAGTTTTTACTAGAACACTCACTGAATAATACCAGATTATTAATTAATTTTTCGAAATAGTCACAATTTTTCAGAATAATTTAAAATAGTCACTTCCATTTCAGAACAGTACATTAAAAAATTTAGAATAGTCACTATTTTTCAGAATAGTAACTCTTTGTATCAGAACTCAAATTTCAACAGTTACGTCTAAGATCCAAACAATCACCATTGTCACCATTCTAACAGTTGAATCCCAAAAGAATAGTTTCCAAAAGTCACTATTTCACATCAGAACAGTTGTCATAGGCATAATTCAGTTTTCAGTGGCGCACTGAGAAACATTTTATTAATTAAAGTCAACCTGACTTTGTTTATAACTGACGTGCGTGTTTTTTACACTTGTGTACTTCGATCGATTTTTCAATTAACAGTCGGTGTTCTGTTTGGACACAAAATTAGCAAACTGTGGTGGCAGTAGTCGGTTTCTGGTTAAATCTGGCATATATATCCAATAATACAGTGTTTCATATTTTTCTTTTGACTGCAGTGACTTATATTATATAAGTAACATTTGAATACAAAATATATTGTAATCTTCACCCAATTCATTAAAATTGTAATCCGACCCATTCATAAATCAATGATGAGAACATGGTAAGACCAAAGTCGTTTAATGAGGCACTCTAATCAAATAAATACGTACTGCTTTCAGCTTAATATAAAAAGTTCATATATCATTCTATAGATATCAGTAAGTGACTTCATCAATGATGGATGAAACTCGTCGCTCTTAATTGTAAACAAACAGGAAGCAAGAATTTTATTCTGAAAAATGTTCAAGAGTGATTAACTATAACATGATGAATTATTCGACGGTTATATATCTGTACTGATGCACGTGGAAAACTCAATCCTGATATTAATCCTACAATCACAACAATATTCTGCATGATCAACTAATCTGTAATCCCCATATAAAACTGTACATAACAGAGATACAACAATTCGTCGACTTATCGGCGATAAAAGTCAGCTTGAAGCGGACTTGTCACGTTCCATCTAATACTTCAAATGAACATTATCGACTGTGTTTAACAGTGTCGTTAAGCATCCAAAAAGATAATTCAAATAATGCGTATACTAATGAGTCTGCACACTATGGTTCCATTTAAGTTTCATTCAGTAATCCTAAGCATATCAACAAACGACTGAGAATGTTATAAAGCATCCATATCCTAGACGAGTAATCCAATCATATTTACTACATTAATCTGGGAAATAATGATTCTAATCAGTTTGTGATGGATATTTAATGTCCAAGTCGTATGATAAATCTATTTATTAAAGGGTTTCCTAAAAGTATATATATTATACTTCCACATTCTGTTTAGTTAGCTTGAGGATTGTGTGGGTGTTCTCTTTCACCATATAGCTAGTTTAAGGCGGAAGTGAATTAAAGGACTATAATTATAAAATATGGAAAGTAATCGAAGGGGTATAGTCGTCGAATTAATTGTTATTAATTAGCTGAGGGGGCTAAACTCGGCTACCCAAAGCATGATTAAAGTAAATATTATATATAGATTAAATATAAATGCGATATTATGTTCTACTACTAGTAAATTTGAAATGATCGGTAGTGTTAACAGAGACAGTGGTGATCGAACGGAGCCTTAAAATAACATACATTGTAATTAGAAGGAAAAGAACACTCACATGTTGAGGCTAGCGAAAATTCTTTTTTCCTTCAGGAAATGGCTCTGTTGGCTTAATGATACACATACGATATTGAACCTTTTGTTATGTAGCAGAATAATCATTCCGTTAGGCTATTCACACATAGGTCAACTGTAGGGCACATGTCATTCTGGTTTTGAAAATATTGCGTCATAGCCAATTACCAGAACCAAAAGTCATCAACATCGTTATGTAAAGTAAAGGGCACTGGTCATCAATATAAAATGTAAAGTAAAGGACCAGTCATCAATATCATAATGTAAAGTTAGGGACACCAGTCATCAATATCATAATGTAAAGTAAGGGACGCTAATCATCAATATCATAATGTAAAGTTAGGGACACCAGTTATCAATATCATAATGTAAAGTAAGGGACGCTAGTCATCAATATCATAATGTAAAGTTAGGGACGCTAGTCATCAATATCATAATGTAAAGTAAGGGACGCTAATCATCAATATAAAATGTAAAATAAAGGACCAGTCATCAATATCATAATGTAAAGTTAGGGACGCTAGTCATCAATATAAAATGTAAAGTAAGGGACGCTAGTCATCAATATAAAATGTAAAATAAAGGACCAGTCATCAATATCATAATGTAAAGTTAGGGACGCTAATCATCAATATAAAATGTAAAATAAAGGACCAGTCATCAATATCATAATGTAAAGTTAGGGACGCTAATCATCAATATAAAATGTAAAATAAAGGACCAGTCATCAATATCATTATGTAAAGTTAGGGACGCTAATCATCAATATAAAATGTAAAATAAAGGACCAGTCATCAATATCATAATGTAAAGTAAGGGACGCTAATCATCAATATAAAATGTAAAATAAAGGACCAGTCATCAATATCATAATGTAAAGTTAGGGACGCTAGTCATCAATATAAAATGTAAAGTTAGGGACGCTAGTCATCAATATAAAATGTAAAGTTAGGGACGCTAGTCATCAATATAAAATGTAAAATAAAGGACCAGTCATCAATATCATAATGTAAAGTTAGGGACGCTAGTCATCAATATAAAATGTAAAGTTAGGGACGCTAATCATCAATATAAAATGTAAAATAAAGGACCAGTCATCAATATCATAATGTAAAGTTAGGGACGGTAATCATCAATATAAAATGTAAAATAAAGGACCAGTCATCAATATCATAATGTAAAGTAAGGGACGCTAATCATCAATATAAAATGTAAAATAAAGGACCAGTCATCAATATCATAATGTAAAGTTAGGG